TTGGAAAAACTCCCTCGCGCATCTTACCCTTCGGGGCCGGGCGCGCAAAAAGGAGGTGTGACACTAACTGACCGGCATCTCTCTTCGGCAAGAGCTTAGGGGCGCCCGGTATCTTATTGACCCTTTCTTGGTGTTCTTTCATTTGGTCCCGAAGTGGTTTGTTCTCATTCTTCATTTCCTCCATCCTTTGTAGAATGGTTGCGAAAGTCATCACCTGCACTTTTAACGATATTGTGAGTAATATTTGTCATTGGAGGAGGAGGAAATTGATCATGATGCTTGTCTGCTGGTGGTATAATGCAAGTCCTTGCATTTTTTGTAGCGGTGTCCTGAACGGGTTTATGGAGGACGCTGGTTAGCGTGTTAGTTAGCCATGCCTCAAGGAGCTTCTTTACTGCTTGTGCCGTCTCTTCCACCAGGGATGTAGAGGCTCCCTTACCAAGAGATTTTGTGATGCTAAAGTGAGAAGGTGGTGACCCACCTCGCCTGGGGGAGGCATTGGCCGTTGCATCCTCATTCACTACTTCAGAGCTCTCATTGATGGTGTTTATGAGGTTGGTAGGGAGGTCACTCATTATTCTCGTTCGTTCTTCTCTGTTACATGCCATATTAGATTTGTGCATACAAAGAAAGGAGATCTTGTTCTTGCTCTTTTTTTTTACGTTAGTGATCCGTGTTAGTTATAGATATAGAGGAAACTAAAAATTTAACTAGGAAATCCCTACAGCCTGTGCCAAATTGTTTGACCAAAAAGTATGACATTTAGTTAAATCTATTGTATTTATGTAATTATGGGTTAAACCTTGTTAATAATAATATCTCTAAATGTAAGTTCCGAAAATGTAGCTAATCGTTGAATAGAACTGGTGGGAAATTGACAATAATAGACATAAAATATTTTAAAAGGTATCAGCAATAATGGTGATCGAGTAACTAGCAATAAATAACAATAAATGACGTTTAAGTAAATAGGAGGTGTGATTCACCCAATAAAGAATGAACTAGATGGTTGTTCCTCCTGACAATGATGGGTGACAGATAAATCCTAGAACGTTCGAATTGTTCTCGGGTTTGATGGAAAAGTATGGAATAATATGGACAAGACTCTTGATGAAAAGGTAGTGTTTGTAGTTTTGATAGAAACTCAGAAATCATGTTCTTATCAAGTGAATAATACATGCACCTTTTTCCTTATCTTTTGTCCTTTTTATATGATCCTTAGTAAGACCTAATAGTACATGTGCAAGGAATATTTTTTAGAATATTCCCTCTATTATGCTATTCTAAAAACTAGCCGTTACAACTGGGGCATTTGCATCTATACCCGCTTTTTGGGTCACGTTTTAACTTGTGCCCGCTTTGCAAAAAAAATTGCAAGTGTACCCACTTTTTCGCGTAACTTCAGCATACGGGGCTGAAGTAGCAAAGGCAATCGCGCAAAACTTCAACATTCTAGTAGACGGGACTGAAGTAGCAAGTGTGTTGAACCAAGTGTGCTGAAGTTTTTGTTTGTAATTGTTGAACTTAAGCATAGTAGCTGAAGTTTTGTTTTCTATTTGCTGAAGTTTTTGTTTGTAATTGCAGAAGTTTTTATTTTTGTAACTGGCGAACTTCACCCCTAGAGCTGAATTTTTTGTTTTGTAACTGACGAACTTCAACTCTAGAGCTGAAGTATTTGTTTTTGTAACTGGTGAACTTCAGCTCTAGAGCTGAAGTTTTTGTTTGTAACTGGCGAACTTCAGATCTAGAGTTGAAGTTTTTGTTTGTAACTGGCGAACTTCAATCTTCTTAGAGTTGAAGTTTTTGTTTGTAACTGGCGAACTTCAATCTTCTTAGAGTTGAAGTTTTAAGTGACTTTTCATATGATTCGATGTCAATTTGGTTTGATTGGATTGCCTCCTTCAAATGGTGTTAACTTGATATTCAAATACATTATCCTTTAAACCTAGAAGCTAGGAAGTTTCTCTGTTAGATACTTTTCCACTGCCACTGGTTACCCATTTAATTTCTTCTCATTTATTTGTTCATGTTTAACCTTTTATAGTCCTATTGACTTATTGTGGGTCTTGAATACCTTTTTTTTTCTCAGGTCTTTTGGAATTATAAAACAGTTTGATAGCATCACCAAAACACATTTGGTAAGGAAGCTTTGAATTTCTTCTAATGGAACTATCGGATTGAGTGCGGATATAATTTTGAGGAGGAGAATGAGGAGGAGAAAGGGGGCTGAAGTTGTTTAAAAAGTGGGTACAAGTTAAAACTTTTTTAAAAAATAGGTACAGGTTAAATGGGGACAACCAAATAGGGCGCCCCGTGCAATTTTTACGTTACAGCTCTTTCCGCGGACCTCGTACTCAACCATTGTAAGCATCCCGACCTCGAGCTTCGCCATTATTTTCCTGATCAACCTTGACTGGTTCTTCCCTCAATACTTCCTCGCCCTAAATGTTTCGTGGTAGATTTCGACCTATACAAGTGTAACTTGTGATGACTTGTTATTTGTAATTTTGTTACATGTATTTTGAGTGTGTAATTATTTTTACAGTGTAAGTGAATAGCAATTAAACTCAAATTATATAGGGACAACAACACCCACTATAACTGGTACATGGCCTTATTTGGAGGGGATATGGTGTAATTCCTTAGTCGGTATAGCTGTCAAAAATAAGAAAATGAAAAAGAAATTTACTCAGCAGAAAAGCAGATCTAGAATCCAAAAGGCATTGCTTCAGTGTTGCGTCCAAATAAAGACGTGGTAAACATTCAAATCAAGTGTTACGGGTTTTAATTAATGAGCTTGAGAAGAGCATTATTTTGAAGTTGAACTTCTTTGAAGGCACTGATTGCTTGTGGGAGTTATGTGTCACAACTTGAAAGTTCCAAAAAGAATGTTATTCGAGATACTAAAGTGAAGGTATATAATTTTTATTTCAATTTAAATTAAGTAATATTTTATTTCTTTAAGGTAGAAGTTCCTAAATGTCATGTTTTTCCCTTACGTGTTAAAAAATACTACTACTACATATTAATACAAATACTGATACTACAGCCTGAATAGTGAAAAATAACAGAGAATTCAATCATTCAAAACAGTTGAGAAAATGGCGGAAAGAAACAAGAATGGTGGATTGACACCACTGCTGGGAGAGAGACCGAAAGAGCCATGGAAAGGAGGAGAGGTAGTGAAGAGCATTATGAATGCAGGGCCTGACGCCATTGTCACTTCTTTCTCCCTCATCTCCTCCATCTCTGCCTCCCATCATTCTTCCGGTACCTACTTCTCTTCCCAATTCTCCATTTCTTGATTGTTAGTTATTATGAAAGAGTTATTACGTCCATTTATTTACGGTTCTCGGATTTACGAATACTACTGTATCAAAAAGAGAAATGAGCTCTTTTCTAAGAACCTGGTCTGTGGCATTGTGGTACTCAATTTGGATTAGTTAGACTAAACTTTAGAACCATCTATGGCATACTACATCCTTTGAAAGATGTTGTGGCAGTCATTACAGTAGCGGAGGCAGTGGGAATTGAACAAGTGACCTCACAAAGGTTTTGAAACCCCTTGACCATTGAGCTATGCTTTTAGGCTATATCAAGGGGATTCAAAACATAATATATAGAGATAAAAAATAGATTTTGCCTTACATATATAGTGTAATTTTTCGACGAAGGGGTTCAGGTGAACACCCGCAGTCAAGGGAGTGGTGAATGAAGTGAGTGAAAGATGTTGTAGTTTTCTTTATTTCTTTTTTTTTTGTTTTGTGTTTGGTGGATAAGGAGGGAGGATTATTTCTCTAGAGAACACCCGCAGTCAAGGGAGTGGTGAATGAAGTGAGTGAAAGATGTTGTAGTTTTCTTTATTTCTTATTCTCAACTCATGTGGTGTGTCAATGAGAATGTGTGTTCAAGACTAAGACGCAGAAATTGGCAAAGAGTTACATGTGATTTGAAGGTCCTAGCTTTCTCCCATTGACTAAGATGAAATAGTAGGTGTATCCTATTCCTAGGGGTGCATTGATTTGTGCAAAATGAGTGTAATTGTGATTGCAGCTAAATGTTTCTTGTTATTGCAGTTGATATTTTGGTGTTGGGTTTTGCAAATCTAGTGGCTGATGGAATATCAAAGGGATTTTGGGATTATGTGTCCAGCAGAACTCAAAGGGATGTAGCTCCCAAGAAGAGGTCAGCCACTGAGTGGGATGTCATTAACCAACACAAGCCTCAGAAGCAGGGATTACTTCAACAGTATCAGGCACTTGGAATGGATCTTACTGATGCTAATACAGTACGCTTTTGTAACTATTTAACACATCTTCTAATGAAAATTTCAGTGCTGTTATGATATGCTAGTTGCTGTATAACAATCTGTATTTGCTTGGTGGAAGGTGGTGAACATATTTGCCAAGTATAGGAACATACTGGTGGACAAGAAGATGGCAACTGAGAAAGGATCATTGCCACAAGAGCAAGGTGAGAAACCATGGAAGAATGGGCTAATCACATGTGCTGCTTTCATTGTCTGTGGTTGTGTTCCTCTTCTGGCATTCATTGTGCTCATCCCATTCACACACAAATTTATAGGCGCCTGTGTGTTTTCTGCTGCTGTACTTGTACTACTAGGTATTGCCAAGGCCAAGATTGCTGGTCGGAGTTGTCCTCTTTCCGCGGCCACCACCCTTTTCAACGGAGCCATTGCTGGGGCTGCCGCCTATGGTATTGGTTGGACACTTAGGAATGTTGCTGGGCTGGAAGACTGATTCCCACCAGAGATAAATTTAGGATATAAACTTGATGAGATCTATCTTCAAAGGTTCTTCCCATGAAATTTATTGTACTTTTAAAATCACTAAACATAATTCAATTGTAAAATTTTACTAGTAATTTTTTACATACATATCTGATTCAATTGAACCCATTGAATATAGGCTCCATTAGCCTATGATCCCTACTATCTCAACTGGTTTTGTTATAGAGCTTTGCTAGTTTTTAACCATTCTTTGTGGTATCAAAATCATGTTCTTAATGTAATTATATTCTACAGCAGTTCGCAATCATACTTACGAATCAGTATCAGGATAACGAACAATTAAAGCAAGATATAGTGTATTGAACAGTTTCAAATCTGGATGTACTAGTGTATATTTTAAGGTCCGAAAGCATTTTGTATTAGTTTAGTAGTACCCAAAAACGAACAATTGTAGAAGCATTTAAACACAAACACGTTTCAAAATAACCGTACAAGTAGAGGTGGCAAAATGGTTAAAAGAAAACAGTTATCTACTCATATTATCCAACCAAAAATGGGTTGGATAATGAACCATTTAAAAACGGGTCGAATATGGATAAAGAACCATATTATCCACTTAGAAAATGGTTAACCAAATGGATAACTAATGCGTTTAACTTTTACATTTGTAAAGCCTCAAATTGGACCTCAAGTTTGGAAGACTAGGAATTCTCTCATAAGTAGTCATATTTAAGAAGTCATGGATAATATGGATATAAGTGATCATATTTAAGAAGTCATGGATAATATGGATATCCATATTATCCGCCGGATAAACCCGTTTTTTTTCCATCTCAAATACGGGTCGGGCCGGATAATTTATCCATTTTTTAGATTACCCGTTTTGACCCGCTCATATCCGACCGACCCGCCCGTCTGTCACTCCTACGTACAAGTAATAGGGAAAACTACAAATAAATAGAAATAAATAATTATATAAAAAGTATATTCTCGTGCATTAAGGTATATGGAAACCAAAATTAGAATAATGAAGAAAAAGAAATTGTGATTAGTACCGAGTACCTGCTCTCTCTCACCAGCAGGTACCATGTACATCCTTTTTTTCTATATATAACAATAGTATCTAGCCTAATCCCCGCACATCTCGACTAATCTATCGAGCACCTGCTCGCTCTAACCAGCACAGGTGCCACGTAACTCTATCTACCAAGGTTTAACATATCCAATACTCTTTAAAAACAAGGAATGATCGTTACCGAAATCGTTGCTAAAATAGCCATCTTGAAATGTCCAAACTTGGGTAGACGCATCTAGATTTATTCAGAAATTGCTACCTGAAAGTTCCTCTTGTCTTTTCTTTTTTTGATAAAGTAAGATAATATCACTGAAAGGGCATCAGGAAGATGCCAAATTACAAGAAAAGAAATTATGTTAGCTCCCCCTACAAAAGACAAAAAAAACATTGTAAGCTCCAGTACAAGAGTACCTATGCTAGAACCAGGGAGCTAACAAAATCCAAAAAAGTGTCAGCGCTATTAACAGGGGAAAGAAAGTTCTAACTGAACAAACTAACTAAACATCTAGCTTTTAGGGAATGTGTTGGATTTGATATTCCATCAAAACATCTGCCATTTCTTTCCTTCCAAACAATCCAAAATATGACTGCTGGAATCATTCTCCGTATTCTTTTGATGGCTTTGTCAACTCTCCAAAAAATTCAGCTAATATAGGCTTCCTTGATGGTGTGAGGCATGATCCAAGTTATACCAAAAATGGATAGGAAAAAGTTCCAAATATCAGCAGTGACTGGGCAATGACGAAACAGATGGTTAACACGTTCTGATCTCTATTGGCATATATAACATATGTTGACTAAAGTAATGCTCCTTCTGCTAAGATTGGTCTGTGTTAAAACAGCTTTATTGAGGGCAGTCCATGTGAGGCATTCTACTTTGAGTGGCATTCTGGTACTCCAAATATGTTTCCAGGGCCAATCCTCTAGTATTCTATTATGTGAGTAGATAAGGTTGTAGCCCTCTTTGACTGTGTACATTCCTTCTTTTGAATTCCCCCAGATGATTCTATCTAGTTGTTGATCTTTCGTGATGAAATCTCCCAGTGTGGTTAGGAGAGCAAGTAAGTCATTGATTTCCCAATCCTGAAGATTTCTTCTAAACACTGGATTCCAAATGTTGTTCTCTCTGTTTTGAGAAATATTTGAGTCCTGATTGTAGGATAATAGGTATAGGCCTGGGTATGAATCTTTTAGTGTTGTATTATCAAGCCATCTGTCTTTCCAGAATTTCACATGAACACCACTACCAATTTTGAATGATGTATTCTGAAAGAGATCATTTTGAAAGCTGCTGATGTGTTTCCATAAACCCACTCCATGAGGTGATGGACTTTTCTTGGGGCTCCAGTGATTCTGAATTCCATATTTGGCGTCAATGATCTCCTTCCAGTAACCTGCTTCAGTTTGTTCATACCTCCATAGCCATTTCATTAGTATACATTTGTTGTGAAGCCTAAGATTCCGGATACCCAATCCCCCATAAGACTTTGGTTGAGTTACTTTTGGCCACCTAACAAGCGAAAATTTGTGAGTCTCACTGTTTCCTTCCCATAAAAACCTTCTTCTTAGCCGGTCTAGTTGTTTCAGTACTGAGCTTGGCATAGGAAACAGAGACATGAAATAAGTTGGTATGTTGTCAAGGACATTACTGATCAGTGTGAGTCTGCCCCCCATCGACAGATATTGCATTTGTCAGGTTGCTAGTGTTGCGGAAGCCAAATGTATATAGTGTGAATAAGTCACAACTACTATACCAAAAATTATGACAGCCGCCAAATAATAAATAAGACAATAAAGCAATAATAAAAGAAACACCAGAATTTACGAGGTTCAGCCAATTTTGCCCACTCCTCGGACACAACCAATATTTTATTCCACTCCAAAAATACAAGTGAAATAATACTAAAGAGAGAAGATACAAATGCCTTAAGAAAATAAAAAGGCAAATGAGAGGTGTGTTTAAATTCTAAACATTAGGCCTCCTTTTATAGGTTGAAGTACCAACCAGAATTGGTACTTCACCGATGTGGGATTTCTGTCATTCAACAAATCTCCACCTTGGCAAAATTTCGCATCTTCAATTTTCTCTCAATAACAAAATTTTAGTTGCGTCTTCCTCTTCAATCTTCAGTGTTCAACAATGTTATCAAATCCAAACAATGTTGAAACTTGACCGCAGTTACCACTTTTGTCAGCATATTAGCAGGATTCTCTGTAGTATGAATTTTCTTCACCGTGACTCCACCTTCTTCTATGATTTCTCGTACGAAATGATACCGAACATCAATGTGCTTCGTCCTTGCATGATAAACTTGGTTCTTCGCTAATTGAATAGTACTTTGACTATCACAAAAAAATTGTGATATTTTTTTGTTCAACACCAAACTCCTTTAGCAACACTTGAAGCCAAATTGCCTCCTTCACAGCCTCTGTAATAGCCATGTACTCTGCCTATGTTGTAGACAGAGCAACTTTTGACTACAAAGTAGACTTCCAACTAACTGGTGCTTTTGCAAAAGTAAACATATAACCAGTAGTTGATCTTCGTTTGTCCAGATCACCCGCAAAATCTGAGTCAC